TCCAAACATAATTTTCATTTATTTTCTTGGACAAAATACTACCGTTTTGTTCACTCTCAATTCACATTTAAAGTTCACATCCTGACATTTACCTTTCCTCTTTGTCTATTTGATCTAATATCTCTCTATTTCCATTATAGCCTCATGCTACTACCAGATGGCTCATCGTAATTTCCCCCAATGCCTTGCTCCTTTCTGCTTTTCCCTGTGTGTCTCAGCATCTCTCCTCTACAATCTCTCCTTCCTCCTCTCTACCCATCTGGGTGTGTGAGGTCCTTTAAGATCTGGATCAGAACTTGCCTCTTGCAAACCATGACCAGCTTCAACCCTCATAGAGAGCTGCCTTGGCTTTCCTGATATTTCAAATGTTACCCCCAGTGGGTTAATTCTCAGCTCACTACCCTGACTGGCTGCCCTCTCCCCACCTGCTCCTCAAACCTGAATTCACCGCAGCCTCCTTTGGTCATGCCTCTGTTGCCATCCTTGTTCCAGATCCAAACTTGACTCTCATAGAAATTCTATGAATTGATTCAGCCCTATATAGCTCTCATCATTTACCATCCACCCTCCACCTCGAGTGAGGCTGATGAAATAAGCAAAGCCCTACCTTTGGATGCTGGGACTGCTGGGTCCCGCACTGTACCCGGAGCAGGGCTATAATGTCCCACTACTGAGAGCTTGAGAATCTTATTCTAATCCCAGGTTTACAGTTGACCCCAATTCCCCATAGAACCCATTTCTGATAACCTAGTTATGGTTCCGGACCTTATGAATACCAATTTCTCTCTTTGCCCTGCCTTGTAGACCTGAGGTTTTCTAAAATTTCCATTCCAAGTTCTCATTCTAACAACCAGTCTATTTGCTGCAATTCTTAATGAGGCCTGCAGCCTTATTCTTTTTTGTGCCCATCTCTGTGGACTGTATTCCCTTCAGTGAACCTCAGCTCCCAAATCTAGGGTGATCCTTAAAAAGATACAGTCTGCAAGGCTGGTTGGTGACCCTGCACTCTGTGAACCTCTTAAGTGCTCTAGTCCGACCATTTGATGCCTGGACAGAATGAGCAGGGTCAGCATGGGTGATGAGCTGTGTCTCCACCCTGGGAGTTACTAAATCCTTGCTATTATTTGGAGCCTGGATTCCAGCAGTCTGTGTCCTTTTGGGCAGGTCTAATTCTAGGTGGCAGCACCACCCTGGCCTTGCTTCCAGTAAACATCTCTACTTCCCTGATGTGTCCTGATATGTCACCAGAGTCTCCAGTTTCAACTGTTGTATGGTCTTCCCAATAAGTGTAACTGCCAAATAATCTTTCACCTTTTCTCCCCTCCTTCTTAAGGCACAGAGTGGTACACATGACACAACTAATGAATGGGTATAGAGAGTAAATGGATGGAGAGTCTGAACTCCACATACTCTAGTCTTAACTTGGGCTTATAAAAGGTCACTTAAAACACATGTGTCTCATCAGGAAAGTGGGGATAATAAAACTTAATTCTTGTAGGTTTTACAAGGATTAGCTATGAGCAGTGTGGTACACCCACTGGAATAGCATAAACATCTCTGTAATGTTAATAAAATGACATTAATCAAGTCTTGTGTCAGAGGCTGCCCAAGGGTAGCACCATTGGCTATGACCCAGCAAAGGTTGAAGCTTTTCTTTTTCTTCCTCTTCTCATCCACATTTAGAAAATGCTATTTATAAGAGTCAGCGACCAACTGAAGTCTTTATGAAGCAGTTTTTCAGAGTAATGAGAATAAGGAAGGAAATGCTAGTTGTCTTTAAAAAATTTGTAAAATTTCTACAACCCACAGTCCCTCATAGGAAGTGCTTGAGCGAGATCTGTTTCATAATTCAGACTTTCGAAAACTTTATAAAGACAATATGATACATTATGCAATTACCAGCAGGACTGCAATAGTAACCCTGGAATAGATATTAATATTTTTGTAATTAAACGTCTGAAGACTAGAAATAGCTTTATCAGTTCGGATTAACTTTTGCTGCCAAGTAAATTTGTGCCAAATGTATAAAATAATTTTCAGTTTTTTCAAAGCCTTTTAGATTTAGGAGTTGTGCATCAAGGATCATAGATCCATATTCTGAAGGAAAATGCTTTCATTTTGGGTGTCGCCAGATATAGCAGGACCAGAGTGTAAGTTAGGTGAAGAAACAAGGAAAATTTTGGCTCCATAGAAAAAAGAACTTTCAAACAGTGACGGTCACCCTAAAATGGAATATCAGCCCCTAGGAAAGCCATGAATTCCCAGTCACTGTGGTCAAACAGAGATGAATTAGGCAGTTGTCTACTTAATTGTGTAGAAGCTGATATATTCACTGTTACGGAATCAATTCCCCAACATACAAAAAATGCTTATCTTTAAATAAATAAAAAAATAAAATTCCCTTTGTTTAAACAAAAATATTACATTTTAAGCAAATTTGAAAGTTAAAATCAAAAGGCAAATATTCAATGCACAAAGGATAGAGTGTAAGCAGTTCTTTTCTGTCTTGATCAAGGCTGTCTGGATGTCCAGGTTCCAGACACGCCTGGGGTTAGTGCTTAATAAACAGTTGGGAATAAATTAATGAAAGAACATGTTCTGCCAGCATAAACATATTTAAAATCTGTAAATATACTTTAAATTCATAATTAGGAAATTCAATGATATGCGTCAAAACATGTTTTTCCTCTTGAAGTTTCTATTTTAAGTAGGGCTAATTGTTACAATCCCATTGTATTACTGAAATACTGTTTAATTACTTTTGATTTAGTGAAGAAACACCTGCTTTAAGAATAGGCTCAGCTTTGAAAAAAATACAATGAAAAACACCCTGATAGTGTTATGATAACCGTACGTAAAACACATTTGCAGAATATTTCAGTTTTTATTTTTAATTTTAATGATTGCTTCTAATTGCTTTGATAATAAATTTAGTAAGACATTTTGGAAATTTATTTTCCAGTTTCTATTTTTTTCAAAACAATCTTTCATACTCTTGAATTAATTGGGCTGCAAGTCAGTATTTTACTTAGGCTTTGAAATTCTGGGTCTGATTGCTTGGTTGTCATGTTAATAACACAATGAGAAACACTGTAATTAGTCTCTGTTCCTAAAGTGTTGTCTAAGATCAGAGGGCTGAAGCTGTCATGTTGGCTCTCAGGTCATCAACTGACTAAAGAAATAATCAGAGCATAGCGAAATTTCAGGCAAGAAAAATTTGAGCAAGGTGATTTAAAAAAAAAAAAGAGTTTTGACCTAGCTTTTCAGACAACAACGCAATTCACTTTCTGTTAGATGAATGAGAAATGGACATTTTTTTCACCTAAAAACTGGCCAGCTATCAAAGAGTTTTCTCAACTCCATGTCAACCAACAAGACTTTCAGATTTCTTTTTGGCTATAAATCCTGCCCCGAAGAAAGGTCTTTCGTGGGATCTTCTGACAGGGCAGTGAGAGAGACGCATGCTCTCTGTTCATTATAACAATTCAGGTGTGTTCAGTTTTTTCTGTTGACCTTTGGAGGAAGATATTTACAAGAACTGTTAATAATACATGCTGAAGAACGGTTCTTTGCAAAATGAAGAATAATCTACTTTTTACATGGTAAATTTAGCCATAGAGCAATGTGTTGTTTAATTTTGTTACTATTTTGAAAAATTTTTAATATTTCCTATACTTTCTTCCAAACTTTCTGACCGAGTCTTGCAACTGTTAGGCCAATTAGAGATTGTAAGCATGAAATTCAAGAGATAGAGTAAACTTTTACTTTTTATGCCGTTGATATGATGTGTGGATGCTGTAAAAAAGGATGAAGTTTTATTTACATCCTATGTTGCTCTAGTACCAAATTAAAATGAATATCTCTGCAGAATAGAGTGTAGTAATATTTTAAAGCAAAGTTAAATTTGTACCTCTTCTTTGATAATTATATCATTCTGATTTTCAAATAAATCAGTTTATTAGAAGGTCACGTTTAATATTGTTGATGACTTCAACCCATGCACATCCCTGGTGGCCCGTGGCCATACAGTGGCATGATTGGTTTTGTTTTAACAGGAATAAGAGTAAGTCATCATGTTTTAAATCCTCGTTAGGACAAATCCCTCTCCCTTCTCAATTGTTTGACAATTTTTCCACGTTCTTTATGTTCTAAGGCCTGAGGCTGTGTCATTTCAGTTGATCTAGTAAAACTCATTAAGCTGAAAGTGTTGAATACATTTATAAGAGAGATTTCAAAGGATTGAGCTGTTGAAAAAAAATCAGAATCCCAAAGTGTTGGATTGAAAGAGGATGGGGTGTGGGCTGTTTTGTTCGCTACTGAACTTTTTGCACTAGAAAAACACCGGGAACGTCTTAGAAACTCAATCTTCTCACTTGTTGAGTAAATAAATCAATAAAAGAGTTAATTCTTTTTCAATCTGAGACAAACTAAACTTCTTGACAGAAAATCTCTTCCTAAAGATTTTCAATATTCCATCAGTCCTTTGGCATTGTTGCCTGGGAAACTGAATCTAACTGTTTTTAAATGCATGTGAATTACTAAGCAATTGACCACCTAGACTTCCAACCACCAACCTGGAGACTGAAAAGGTAAAGTCACCCTTAGGCCATGAGTGACTAAGAGATGGTGCTCACTAAGGGTGAGAAGGCATTCAGCTCGGGTGGAGAAACAGCACTGGCAAACTTTCTACTCCTGAATTTTTTCTTGGCTTCATCCTAAAATAGAAGACAAATGTTTGAGAGATGAGGCCAAAGGGAAGAAAAGGAAGAATTCTGTAAGATTTTCAGAGTTCCTTTCTGTCAGAAGGGTTGTTGAGGGGGTAGTCACAGTAGCTCTCAGAGGCAGTATTGGCTTTCTTGGGTCTGTCTGGAATTGACACCTCATTTCCTTCTCTAAGGTGAGTCCGTGTTAGTGAATAATTACTTATTATTTAGTCTAATCCACACCTGTAGTGATGCATCAGAGTTGATTTTCCACAAGTCATTTTAATTATTTCTCAGGGTTGCAGATATAAAGGGAGATGCTTGAACTGAAAAATATTCTTGGAGTTAAGCTTGTGGTATTGCAAGCTCAAGAATGGACAGAAAGCATGGAAAATACGTAGCGAATATCGAACAATCTGAAAACCAGCCAGTGAGTATTGTTGCTCTATTTTAATATTTTGCTTATATTACAGTCTTCTTTTCAGCATTTGAAAGCAATCTAATTTCTTTACTTCTATAAAGTCAATATCATAATTTTGCATTCTTCTCCAAAAGGAAGAAGAGCTATGTATTAAATTTTTTGCTTCAGCTTTTCGTGCTATATCCTGCTACATTATACTTTAGAAATTATTTTTTGTATTTCTGATATAAAGCATTAGAAATGTCTCTGTAACCACATAATATACAAATAAACCCATTTAACTTTCTATATTCGTCATCATGTAAACATAAATCTCCAATAGTGTCTTTGGTTTAGTTCTGGTTTTATTTTTGTAATTTGATTACTAGATTTTATGCATAATTTCTAAACCTGTCAGAACTCAGATTTCTAAATATTCTGGAAATACAGATATTAATCCTAGATATTGTCTTTAGGACTAAGAAAGAAATCCTCTAAAAACTCCTACTTAGTATAAAAATATGATCATTTTACCTATTTTAAAATGTTTTACTCCAAGACTCAAGCCTTCACTATATAGTTATAAGTGCTTTTTATGTATCTGGTTATGTCTGAACAAATAATCTTTGATATCAGACAAAAGATGGAAATGTGCTAAAAAATTAAAATGGTAAGTTAAAATTCACCACCTGAAGAATAAATGAATTTTTTTTTTTTTGAGGAAGATTAGCCCTGAGCTAACATCTGCCCCTAATCCTCCTCTTTTTGCTGAGGAAGACTGGCCTGAGCTAACATCCATGCCCATCTTCCTCTACTTTATATGTGGGACACCTACCACAGTATGGCTTGCCAACCGGTGCCATGTCCACACCCAGGATCTGAACCGGTGAACCCCGGGCTGCCAAAGTGGTATGTGTGCACTTAACCACTGTGCCACTGGGCCGGCCCCTAAATGAAATATTTTGACTTTGCAATTTGGAGCTATGACAATAAGCCTGTGCTAATTGCCTACAAGATAAGCCAAAGAAGAAAGCCCTTTTGCTCAGTGTTAGTTTAATAAAAGAATCCTTTGCGGGAGTGCTGGGTCACCAGCTTGCCCTTTTGAGTCATTATACAAAAAACTCTCCTGAAGCTGTTCTTTTTGTCACTTCTGAGTTTGACACTGTTTAAGCGGACCTTCAGGATGCCAGGATGCCCCGATGAAAAACAAATATTCCTTTAGCCAAGTATTCATCATCTTGATAGTTTCTCTAGATAACAACAGACTTGAAGATGTTTACAAATATTAAGTTGTTTTCACAGCATATATCTGGATAGTGGACTGAATATTTCACTTTATTACGGATATTTAAGGCATAATTATAAAAATATTTTTCCTTTAAGACCAAATTGAATAATAGAATTTAAGAATTCTTTGCAGATTATAAACAAAAAGAAAATAAATTTTGGTGTTTTGTTTTTCTCTTGAGATACATGAGAACTTAAGTTAATTCTTATAAGTTAAGGGAAAAATCTATAGAACTTTCTTTGGTGATTATAGATAATGCACTTCAGTTGCCTATGGCCACTATTACCTGAGGCTGGTTGTCTGAGTAAACATTACTCACAGCTCTCCAACTAGTCCAGTTTTGTATAGACTTCACCTGTGCTGAGAGTCAGAGCAACCAACATAGCACAGTAGAAACTCTTACTCGGTTTGTGACATTACTCTAAAGCTGAGCCTAGATCACAGGTTCTCCACCCTTAGTATAGATGCCACCTGTCATCTTCCTTCTTTGAAAGGGCGGGATTCCAACAGGGCTAGAAAATTCTGGAAAACTGGCCTGCTGACTGAATTTTACTTGTTTACAAAGTGCATTAAAATGTCCAAGTTCATCAGCCATAGGCAAACTGGATGATCACTAAAGCAACAGAATCAGCACTTAGGAAACTAAGCAAAGTCGTTATTGAAGGTAAGTCCAACTTTCCTCAGATTTACCTAGTGAATAACATGGACTTAGTTTATTCTTACTCAACAAAACATAGAGCTGTTTTCTTTATTTCTTTGCTATAACACTTACAGAAACATCTAACTTCGCAAACTCTTTACTGCCAAGTGTATTCCATCTTATCTGTGTTTAATAGCAATCATATCTATTCTTGTATTTTTAATAATAGTTCCTAATGGACCAATGACTACGTACAATTCTAATTTGACAGTTTTATGGAACTCACTGGTTGATGGGCCAGCAATTTTTATAGCTATTTACTCATGGGTTATTAAATCAACATGATCAAAGACAAGTAGTATAGCAGTAGAAGGAATAAAAACCCTGAAACTACTACTAACAATGATGATAGCTGACATTTACTGAGTGCAAGCTATCTGCCAGATATTGTTCTAATCAGTCAGCAGTTATTTATTCATTAATTCTCACAGCAAATCTACGCATAGGTAGCTTTAGTGCCCCATCCTTTTGAAGATGAGCAAGAAGCGGCGGAGACGCCCTTGATTCCCAGCTGGAAAGTAAGCATTGCCACCCGATGAGATGAAGATCCCCAGGCAATCCTACATTATTCTTGAGATGTAACAAATCTTTTGGTCCAGACATAAATTCCTGAAGCTAGTCCTCTCCCATTTTCACTTTATCTTGTTCTTCGCGCTCTTTTAATGCATTTCTTTCCCAAAATATTTCCCATTGAACTCATCCATTTTCAATCCTTATCATTGCCTTTTCTCAACAATATTTTGCAATTATCATGTTTGTTTGTTAATTATACAAAATTTGTTTTGCCTCCCTGTCACCTTAGCATATAAACTCCCTAAGAGTAGAGACCATTTTTGTTGCTGTTGTTGAGAACTATTTTTACACTGCTATGTGCTCAAGAGGAACCCAGCAAAGGCATGTCACAAACCGGATGATGATTTGTCTTTTGTGTCCCTGTTAGGATCTTGCTAGTTCCATTGCATAGAGCATGGTATGGATTATGCAAAGGAGTCATTTTGCGTGAGAATTTTTCATTAGTATAGTGTAGTATAGTATGTACTGTATTAATGTATTACCATAGTTAAGTGTAACAATATATTATATATAGTGAAGTGGAGTGGAAAATACACTGGCCTTAACACTGTAAGGTCTGGGTTCTAGCCTTTGCTATCGTGTCATTATGAGATAATAATAATAATGATAATAATAATAATAATAACTTCAACTCTCTTTGCTTCAATATTTGCATTTCCAAGATGACCTGAACAGGTTGTACCTGATGAGCTGCAAGAACTTTTTCAGCTCTAACATTCTATTCCTTATATGAATAGAAGCTTCCTAATATATACTCCACCTACAGCAGCTTGCAACATCGAGTATTTAACACAATGCAAGTAATATGATGGGAAAGATTGGATGATATACATGCTTGATCTGAAACAGTGGTAACTTACAAAAATTAGTTAAAACGTAATGTATAATAATCTGTCTAGATTTTTTTGTCTTCAGAGACTTAGAAAACATTCCTTTTAAAAGTCTTGTCTTTATTCCTTTTAAAAGTCACATCCTTGTTTATTTTTGACAGAAGAGTTTGATTTTAGAAATTCAACCACGTGTCTTCCTATTCACTTACACTTCATCTCTCTAGCCAATCACGTGTTCCAATGATCAAGAGGCTCACAGCTCTGCGTGCTGGCGTCCACCTTCAAATGACATAACTGGGGATGTCTCTTCCAACTTAACTGGGGTCTGCACGAGCCCAGGAGTCCTTACATACTCAGGACACCCACACACAGCATTGTGCAATACACAGGTAATGCTTGGTATAGCAACTTTTACTCAAGTTGGGATGTGCTCTATATGGGGATGTATTTGTTCTATTCTTTCCCAGGAAATGTATTCAATTCCTTAGTTCACCCACATTCATGTTAAGCATTTGCTGTATTCTCAGTATAATTATAAGTTACCGTGAGGCAATTCACAAGAAGGAGAATATTTGATAGTTTCTCTGTTTTCAAAGAGCTAACATTCTTGTTGGGGACTCAGATATTCACATAGAGAACATATATGAAAATTAAAGGAATAAATGTAAAGTACAAATGCAAGGTTGGAGGGGGCAGGGGAACAAATATGTTGGCGATGGGGTTTAATTCATTAATTAGACTCCAATGGGAGACTAGGTAGTGTGTAAAGCTTCAAGGGTCCTACTCTATTGACGTTCACTTTATTTTCTCACACTGTTCCAGCCTCTGAACCTGTATGTGACACTTTCTATAGCTTTCTTGGTTCTGACCTCTTGTTGATATGACCTTGACTTAGAAACCTGGCTCTGTTCTCCGAATCTTCTCCACTGGCTTTGGAGGCTAGACTCAGCTCTTCTTGGTTCCTGACATTGTCTCTTGGCTAAATTAAGGTTACCTCAGGAATGGGTCTCTACATCTTCATCCCTAGTATAGAAATTTGACCTTGACTATAAATTACTTATTCTGCTTGGCGATTTGTTTGGGTTCTCCTGATTCTGGAATTCCTACCCTCCGCTGCTTAATCTTGCTGTAGAGTTTTGGCCAACAAAGTCTGAGCCTTGTTTCTTTATTCTGGATAAAACATATAAACTGTTTGTACCATTGCTGGGGCAATGTGAAAGAATGAATGAGCTCAATAGGGTGGAGTTAGAAAATGTTTCTTCCTGCTCACAGAAGTAAAGTCATTTATATCAATCATAGAATTGAAAGTGGTCTTAGATAATATCTAGTCTGGTGGTTCTTAGCCCTAGCTGCTTATTAGAATCACATAGGGGTTGTTTAAGACATACCAGTGTCTGAGCCCCATCCAGACCAGTTAAATCAGAAACTTTGGAGGTAGGGTCCATGCATATGCAATATATATATATATATATTTTTTTTAAAGATTTTATTTTTCACTTTTCTCCCCAAAGCCCCCTAGTACATAGTTGTGCATTTTTACTTGTGGGTACTTCCAGTTGTGGCATGTGGGATTCCCCCTCAGCATGGCCTGACGAGTGATGCCATGTCCTCACCCAGGATTCGAACTGGCGAAACCCTGGGCTGCCGAAGCACACGAACTTAACCACTCGGCCACGGGGCCAGCCCCTGTAATATTTTTTAAAAGCTTCAGGTGAATCTAATGTGCAACCAGTGATGAGAATGACTGATCTAGTCCCATTCCATCATTTAGCAATCAGGGAAAATATGACCCATGGAATTTCAGACACTTGCCAGAACTCATGTAGAAGTGACTGAAACAGGAGAACTTAGGTATCCCATTGTCTGGTTATGTGCACTTTATTTCACTAGGCTGCTCTTTTACGATTTTTTTAAACGTAGTATTATAGAATCCTCCCAGATGGGCATAAGCCTTTTTGCCACTTTCCTTTCTTAAGACTCCTTTGTAGTGCCTCTGGTCAAGGTAAAGAGAATGATATTTTTCTAGGTCTAACTTGGACTTAGTGGCACCCATTTCCCTGGCCTTGTTAACCTGCACTCTCATTCGACTCCTGCTGCCTTGGGGCCGCCGCCCTTTGCACAAAACCCTGGCCATCCAACAAATAGTGTGGCTTGTATTTTGTAATATTTAAGACCTACTCTTGTCTGTCTGAAAGGCATGAGTATCGTATTCCATTCCTTGAAGGTCTTGCTCCCATCCAGGTGATAATGAAATAATCATGTTGGATGATTGGAAATTTACATAGCTAACACTGTGCCAGGCACTGTATAAATATTGTCTTATTTTATCCTCTCATCTTTTTTATTAGGTAGGTATTCTTATCCTTATGAGGAAACTGACACTTAGAAAGACAAAGCTGCCAAATGCTAAGAAGTGACAGAGCTACAATTCAAACCCAACTCTGTTGGACTCCAGAGTTCTTGATCTTAATTCCTATAATATGCTACACACAAAATAAAAATATTTTTGAGAACTAGTGACTTTCTGTATGTTAATCCCCAACAACAATATGAGATAGATATTTTTAACACTGTATTTCAGGATAAGGGGATTTGGGCTCAGAGAAGATAAGAAATTACTTAAGATGTCATAGCTCTGAAATTTTACCACATCTCTCCAATTAAGAAGACTGCACTCTTCCATTATCCTCGTTGCCTACCTAAGACTAGTAGCAACAAATATTTGCAAAAACACTTTAGCATTAACAAAGCAATTCAGTTTTGTTAATTCTTAAGGTAATCTTATAAGTCACAAGCTATTTTGTCACCAATTCATAAGTGATGATAAGGATTAGTGAGAAAATAAGCAGGGCTTTGGTTTACCTTGTTGAAGTGCACATCACTGGAAAGCTTCTAGGGAGTTCTCTTCATTGTGCACGTTTAGGTATTAAGCCTGGGAAGAATATAATGCCCTCAAGTAGGTTCCCTGTGTCCCTCTGGTCATACTAGGTTCCAGGCAACTACCTATGTGCTGGATGATAAGATAGGAAATTATAAAGGGTCATTATCAGGTGTTAATTCATCACCTGGCAATCAATGTTACATAAAGAATTTGGAATATTCTAAGAACAATTATGAAAAAACTTCACAGTATATCATTCCTCTCCTGATAACACAGCACTGACCAATACTCAAGTACTGAGGCAAAAACAGGTGCCTGAGGAGACTGTGCTGTGTTGAAGGTGAACCATGCTGCCTTCTGTGTGGTGAATAGAGTATGGGAAAGGCATTTCCAAGCAACAGAATTGTTCAAGATCCTGTTTTAGAAGCAAGCTTTGAAGAAACTAAATGGAGGCCAGTGTGGCCCAAGGCTATTGCAGTAGTCCAAGGCAAAGATAATGGAAGCTTGAACTAGAGTGGTATCAGTAGAGACAGAGAAAAGTCAACAACATTAGGAGATGTTTAGGAGATAAAGTCAACAGGGCTTGGTAATGGATTGGGAGATTTAAAAGATGATCCATTTGTTCCAGCTTATGGAACTGAATGCAATGGATGGTGGTGCCATTTAATGAGATATGGGAGCTGGCCAGGTTTCACTGTGAAGATCATGAGTTTGAGGCATCTTTGAGCCATCCAAGATGTGGTATCTTTGAGCCATCCAAGATGTGGTATCATGTAAGCATTTGAAGGTTGGAGGGGAGGTCTGGACTGGAGATAGACGACAGTCATTCAGATAGAGATGCTAATTAAAAATCATAGGAGGGAAAAAGCATAGAGTGGCCAAATCCAGCCCATTGTCTATTTTTCTTAGTAAAGTTTTTTGGAATACAGTCATGCCCACTTATTCACTCACTGTCTATGGCTACTTTCACACTGTAATGGCAGATGGGAGTAGTTGTGACAGAAACTGCATGGCTCACTAAGCTTAAAATATTTACTATCTGGCCCTTTGCAGACAAAGTTTGCCTATTCTAGACCTAGAATGAAAAGAGACAAGGGTCTGAGAATGTCAACAATAAAGGCTGAAAGTGGATATTGAGCTTTCAAAAAAAAAAACCTGAGAAGATGATTCTGGAGGGGGAGGGGGTTATGAGGAAACCAAAGGGAATGGAATATCACAGAAGAAAAGGGAGAGATTGTTCAAAAGAGAGAAGGAGGAATGGTCTCCAGTGGCAAATACCACTAAGGACTTAAGTAAGAGGAGGGCTAAAATATGTCAATATATTTTGGTGAATGAATGTCACTGATGACTTCATTAACAGGTGTTTCAGTAGCATGACAGAAGCAGAAGCCAGAGTGGGTTGGATTGAAAAGTGTGGACATGGAGATGTTGCATTTAGACTTCTCTCAAGAAATTTCGTTTTTCAGAGGAAGAGAAGTCAGCAAAAGGGGATTTGGAATCAAAGGAGAATTTTTTGTTTAAGATAGGAGAGACTTGAGTGTATTAAAATGTTAAAAAGAAGAAGCCATCTAAGAGGAAAGTGGTGAAGTCTTCAGTCCAACAGGAAGAGTAATCAAAAGAAAAGAGTTGCTGAGAAGGGCCGAGGGGATGCAATCCAAAGGATGGATTGGCAGACTGGCTTCAGGCAGAAAGAGGGATAGCTTCTCTTGTGTCAATCAGGGAAGGGGAGGTGGAGTCCAGACTTGTTTAGGTTTACAGGCTTGGTAGCCAGTGGGGGTTTGAAAGAGTTCCCATATGATGGTTTCAAGTTTCCCAATGAAGTAGGAAGAAGGTGAAGTCATTTGATGGGAATAAGGAGGACAATTTGTATGTGAGGGTTGGTGGGTAGAGGTTACAGGTTTGAGGAGCGAGGAGAAGACTGAGAAATAGATTCAGATAAATACAGTTGGATGGTAGAGCATTGCAGAAAGTCCATTCGAGGATGGACTCCGATCTGCCCAGGTGCCTGGCTTTCCCCAACAGTGTGGCTGCTCAAGAACAGGTCCCAAAAGAGCAGATAGCCATTTATTTGCCAGCTGGAGGAAAGGAGAAGTGAGAACTGCAAGAGATTTTAGGGAATTAGTAAGAATGTTATTGAAATAATGGACCATGGAACAAAAGATGACTAAAGAGGGATGTGAGTGAAGCAAGGGCTGCTGGGCCGAAGGTTTCAATAAAAGTAAAGGATGGTCATGATGGGAATCACTGAACAAACCACTTGAAAGGAGAGGAGATGGAGATGATAGCACAGGATACTTGAAGTGATTTTGGAAGCGGACCAGTTTGAGTTTGGGGTAATGACAATGTCCAGTGGAGGATCAGGTGTATGGCAGAGAATTTATCACTAAAGTACTGTTCCACTTACATGAAAAGAAAAGGGGCCCCTACCCATTATTTGAAAATAGAATAAGAGAAGATGAGAACTTTTTTCTAATGTTAGAGAAAGCACACAATTACTTTCCACTGGATAAAAACCTGGAATCTAAGCCTAAACTTCTCCAAAGATATATAGTGATTCAAATGACAGTAATGCAATAAGTTAAAAATAGCCCCAAAGAGATGATAAGTCATAGCATTTTTGTTTTTCATTACTGATATTTTCATTTATACTTTTCTTAGGTAAAAGAAAATTGCTGCAATAACTGGTCTTTGTGGAAATTCTTTCTGGCTTGTCTCTTAGCCTGTGCCATAACAACAGCAGTTGGAGTACTCATAATATGCCTGGTGACTAATAGAGGAAATGACAATTCCACCATTGTTATCCAGCTGCCCTCAAACAATGGGAAGCCTGTAGTTATCATTCCTGGAACAACCTCTACTGCTTCTCAACCTACAGTGACCACCACTTCAACGGAACCTACAACTACAACTGTTTCAACAGAATCTACAACCACTGCAACGTCCACTGAAGCTACAACCACAGAAGCCACAACCATCACTTCAACTGAACCCACAACCACAACAGGCACAACCATCTCTTCGACTGAACCCACAACCACAGCAGCCATAACAATCACTTCAACTGAACCCACAACCACAGAAGCCACAACCATCACTTCAACTGAACCCACAACCACAACAGGCACAACCATCTCTTCAACTGAACCCACAACCACAGCAGGCACAACCATCACTTCAACTGAACCTATAGCCACCACCTCTTCAACTGAACCTACAACCACGACAGCCACCACCACAACTTCAAGTGAAACCACAGCTGCCACCACTTAAACAGAATCTACAACTGCTGCAACTTCAATAATAGCAAATGCTACTGCCGCTTAATCTTAGCTGACGACTAAAGCAATCACTATTCCCACCATCTCTTTGACTAAATGCACTACATTCACTTCAACTGAGTCTATAATCATTACCATCTCCACTTAGCCTACAATAACAATGGTCATCACTCTCATTCAACAATCTCGAATCACCACCTATTCATCTGAAGCTGCAAGGACAAAAGCCATCATTTCACTTTAACCTAATAGAAGTACCATCCATCATCAAATTGTTGTCTTCTACGGCAAGTTAACCTTTAATTATTATCACTACAAATTAACCTACAACTACCCCGACCTCTCACACTGGCTCTTCCCCCAAATTGTAGCTACCTCTTCTCCAATAGCCGAGTCTATATCCACTGCCAGTGCTATATTATTCCTACAGCAGCTACCATAATGCCATTTGAAGAACAATAATTTAGACAAAGAATAATTTTCATTAAATCATTTTTCACTAAATCTACCCTTGGGACTTCCAAAAATATTAAAACTTTTTATTTTTAAAGAACTGACAGTTTAAGCTATAAAGAATCTGCTCTTTGTTCTATAGTTCAAAATAATATAACTTTATAGAAAAAGTAATCCAATTTGCTTATTCAGGAAATCATTAAGAAATTCTACATAAAACCTTATAGTAAAATGAGCCATTTAGATTTAATATGCATTGCTTTCAATTCAGAACATTGCATTCCTCTGCACAGAAATTACATGCATAATAAACAGAAGTTTTTATAGGGGGAGATTTAAGCAAATTTATGCAGAGAGAATTTTAGAATTTATAATGACTGTTTCCTTTATGGTGAAGTTTGTTATGTTTCTTCAATTTCTCTTTAGATTGCAATTATCTTTTAAGCAATTATGTTCTATTTGCATTAATATTACCAAAAATGCACTTGAATCTCTATTTTAAAATTAAGTAATTAATTTTCTGCAATCTTGTAAGCCAATCAATTAAGTGACATGTCTTAAGTCCCAACTATGTGCTAAAGTAAGGAAGACACAAGAAGAAAATAGCAATGCAGATTAAGCAGCAAATTTATTAATTTAGACTCTGTTCATTTTGAATTATGAATAATTCTTGCAGATTTAATTGCAATCAATGATACCCCAGACATACTAAATCAGGATCTTTAGATTGGGACTAGTAATCTGTAATTTAAAAACCTTCACAAATGTTTGTAATGTCCAGGGAGTTTTGAGAATCACTGGTTCAAAGGTCACATTCTAAGAATGACATTAGTTAGACTGATATAATTTCTAATTAAAAATATTAAAAGTCAGAATCATGTTCTAGGCATGCAAGAAAAATCATTATAGACCTAGCTATGTACAAAAATCTTACTTAACCAATTATATATAAGATCAAGAGGAGAATGTTTCATTTACCAAATGAAAAAAATATTTTCAAGAAACACTTTTAAATTAAAACTTCTGGGCAAATTATAAATATTTAATATCTCTTAAAGTGAGACTGAAGTGATACTCATTGTTAACTTTTCCTGGCTATTTTAGTCATGTGCTTAGAAGTAATGAAGTTTTAGTAAATATGTTAATTTTTACTAATAATTAGATTTCTAATAATGCATGTTGATCTTCCCTTCCCTCTTTGCCATTTTGATTAGGGATATTTTATGAGATATTTAAAACTTCACTGATTAGACCATTCAATTTCTGATTTGGAGTTACCATTTTCTAATTCTTTCACAGCTCCATGAGTTATCAGAATGATAAATGACCTGAAGTTTACCCATACTCGTAAATAAATACATCGACAGCTTATTTTATAAAGAATAAGATTTCCTCAGCCTGTAACACAGTTGGTCCTTATGAAATACACATTGAATAAATAAATAAATGGTAGCTAACTCGTACTGTATAAGATCCATGAGAGCCAGCCCGGATGGCCAGCAGTTAAAGTTTGGCACTCTCACCGCTTCAGTAGCCCGGGTTCGTTTTCTGGTCCCAGAACCACACCATCTGTTGTCAGTTGCCATGCTGTGGTGATGGTTCACGTAGAAGAACTAGAAGGACTTACAACGAGGATACACAACCATGCACTGGAGCTTTGGGGAGAAAAACAAAAGAGGAAGATTGGTGACAGATGTTAGCTCAGGGCAAATCTTTCCTTGCAAAAAAAAAAAAATCCATTAGAATAGACCCTCTGTATTACTTATTATCGTATCCATCTGGCATATAGTAGACCCCAAGAAATATATATTTCAAATATTTATATTTGAAAGATAATTTTTAATGTACGATTGTGTAAGAACAAAATATTTGGCATCTTAAATACTAGTTTTAATAAAACACTTTAGCGCATTTTTGTTTATGTTGAATTATTCCAATTCTTTTAATCTTTTTTTCACAAGACTTATTTTCCACCTTTTAATAATGTACTTGGTTCTTTTCTGAGTTCTCACAGTTTTCATAAATTTAGAGTTCCTAGTTCTCATAGCACCAAGTGAAGGCTTCTGGTCACTGTGGATCATTGGAGGAGGAGCTACGGTGGGGGTAGGGGTGGGGTGAAACAGCAGTAATTATTAAGCAACTACTATATACCAGGCAAAAATTATAAGAGGTTTTCATACATTTGGCTCACATTATGTTTCCCATAATGTTGCTTTTTACCATAGGTTCAGTTTGTAATCCACTATACATCCCAGTACCTTCCCATTCTGAAAAATATCCACAACTAAAGAATTTTCTATGTGCAACACTTCTGCTTGTTTTTATTCTCAACATTCATATATTTAATGAATATTATTTGGAAGTTTTCTCTCAATTTAAACTATTTGGAAATGGTCACTTTTGTTTATTGTCTTATCGTTCCTAAAGCCATCTAAAGGGAAGGGGGCAGTAGGGGGTACGTGATAGGGGACTTCTGTTTCACATAAATGGGAGGAGCTTCACTTTTATTCAGTTATAAGCCACCTGATCATTTAGCAGGTTGAATTCCAATTTCCAGCCTTTCTGCAAGTAAATCAACAGCGTAGGTCAAAGGTCATAATGACAAAGGATTCACTACCCATACTGTGTGACACACTCTTTATTTGGGAAGGCTGAGATGCAACCTCAGGTGCAATTTTGAGAGGGTAGAAAACATGCTGATTCTACATTAATTACTCATGGAACACACATTCTTCCTGTCACATAAGGGACCAAATCTGGTGCATCTGCTGACATCCCGAATGAAGCGCAAATGAGAAACGATTCACAGGTGTCTTGGCTGTCAGGTCGGTCCTCTCTCCACCACAACTGGGCTCAGTTCTGTGCTAGGGATGAGGAAGAAATGACCTCAGGGGGCTTACATTCTAGCAGAAGATTTAACACATAGAGGTACAAAATAACAATTACTGCATTAGTGAGCGTGCCTTTGAACTGAATTAGGAGTTCTTCTGAACCAACTTCATAATGACAGGGTTTGGAGTCAAAGTTTCTTTGGTTTATATATATGTATATATATATATATATATATATTTTTTTTTTTTTTGAGGAAGATTAGCCCTGAGCTAACATCTGCCGCCAATTTCCTCTTTTTGCTGAGGAAGACTTGCCCTGAGCTAACATCATTGCCCATCTTCCTCAATTTTATGTGGGACACCTGGCACAGCATGGCTTGACAAGCGATGTGTAGGTCCGCACCAAGGCTTCAAACTGGTGAACCCCGGGCCACCGAAGCAGAACTTGCAAACTTAACCACTGTGCCACCATGGGACCCTTCTTTGCTTTATATTTTTGCCCTTTTTCATGCATTGATTCTATCATTCATCTATTAATTTATCCACTCAACAAATATTTATTCAGTACCTACTATATCTCGGGTTCTGAGAATACAGCAGTGAACAAGAACGAGATTTCAGCTACTGGAGTTTATACGATAATAGGAGAAATAGGCAATAAATAAGCAAATGCATAAATGAAGAAGATAATTTCCAGCAGAAATAAGTGCCATAGGGTTGTTGAAAATAGCAAGTGGTGGGAGTGAAGGTGGGGATACTTTATATCAAGTGTTCTCACTATTGACATTTTAGGTCATATAATTCTTGTCCTGTGCATTATACTATATTTAAGGGCATTTATGCCCTCTCCCCATAGATGCCAGTAGCACCTACCCCCTGCTGTGACAACCAAAAATGTCTTCAGACATTACGAAATATTGCCTGTAGGAAGAAAGCAAAATTATCCACTGCTTAAGATGGAGTAGTTGTCGAGATGGCACTTGGGTGAGAACTTCATACACTGGAACAAGGGTCCTACTCTGGGCCCTGAACCATCTTTGCTGCAGCCCTGAGAGGGATATGATGGCCCTCTGTTGGCCTTTGGTTTCTACAGGGGCCCCAGAGTCAAAACTCTTCCATGCAGTTGAATGCTAAGGTGTGTTTGCTGACCAAAGGCTGGAGCTTCCTCATCCAGTTCCTCACTGCAGACCCAGTTGCAGGCTCAAGGTTCTCTGGCCTCCATTCTGATTTTTTCTTCTCATATCTTATTTTTCCCACAATCCTCTTAATGGCCCTGGAACCTTGCCATGTTTTTGTTTTCATCATGTTTTGTTTCCATCTCTAGTGATGGGAGTCTCATCTATGAACCTCAGCTCCGCGGCTAAGACTCTGCTTTCCTTGGGCAGATTCTGGCATGTGCTGCAGGACTGGCTGTAGGGTTGATCATTCTGCCTGCAGTCCTGATCACTTGCTCTGGACACCTGCTGGGAAGCACTGCTCTTCTGGTCTGGCAGCTCTAGGACTGATAATTTGCCTAAGTCCTGCTCAGAGATGCCAGGGGCTGCTTAGAGACTGAGCCTAGCCCCTCCCAGAGGTAACTGAGCCTGTTCTCTCATTCACAACTCTCGGCAATTCCTTGCTTAGAAGGCAGGTCTGTTTCCTGGCTTAAGCACCCTTCTGGAATCTTCTGTTCCCACTGTTTACCTACAGAAACTTTGCACACCTTTGTTACTCACTATATTTCTTGTTTCCTGGTTTCTTATTTCCAGATCTCAGCATATGCTACCTTGAAACTTTGTAGTATATTTTCCCTTTCTAACAATATTACAAGAAATTTAAAACTTCTTTCTTGCTGAGAAAGATTTGCCCTGAGCTAACATCTGTGCCAATCTTTCTCTATTTTATATGTGAGACACCACCACAGCATGGCTGGTGAGTGGAGCAGGTCCACACCCAGGATCTGAACCCACGAACCTGGGCCACTGAAGCAGAGGGAGTGGAATTTTAACCACTCAGCCATGGGGCCGGGTCCAAGAAATTTAAAACGTTTTGTGGGGGCATCACAGACAATACCAAGCATGATTTTAGCTAGCTTCCAGACAGCAATTCTGAATACAACTGCTTTAAGATAGATAAAGCCCTGCTTCCCGGAAAAATAGAACACAGCTATCTAACATCAAAAAGTGTAGCCAAATCCTCTCTGCTTGACTTCATTTTAAGACCATAGCTGGTGGACTCTGATCTTTATTTATTGCTTTAGTTCTCCTGGATGCTACTATATCTCTTTTTCCTGTAGCTGCCTTGGCATAGTTTTCTGGTTTTTTCATTTGAGTTAATGTTTCCGGCAACAGTCTTTGATTTTCTTGCAGTATCCCTATTTTATTTCCCCTTCAGATTTGTAATGACTTCTACCCCACTTACTTTTGGCCCACAAATTCGAACTTCTTCCTATTTACTAATTTAAAATGGTTTCTCCGCCATTTGACTGAGAAGAGGTAGAATGCCATCAGAACTCGACAATTTAGGCTTCTGTGTTGATCAGCACTTCTGTTCCTTCTTAGGGGAAAAGGTGGGGCCACTGGCAGTGAAGCTAAAGATAGAATACAATTCATCTAAGATTGTCATTGCTTGAGTCATAGCAACTTTATCTATATCAGGACAAAAGTTTGCTCAGCAGCTCCTATGAATTTCTTTCTCAGAGCTAATATCACAGCTAATATTAAATATAAAGCTAATATAATATTCTACTTCCAGAAAGTTGATGCTGAAAATAGTTTCAAGCAAAGATAAGAACAGTCATTTCCTGGGCCCTTGCCAAAGCTGGCAGAAATTCAGATGCTTTGAAACAGCTCAATGCAACCAACAGATTCTTTTAAAAAGGCTCAGATTTCACCCCAGTAAAAAATGTAACAACTATGAACACACTTTTTGGATATATTTTCATCAGTTCAACATTGTGTTAGGATTAAGTCACTTTAAGAGGACCAAGGAAGTTCCTTCTAACTCTGATTTTCATTTTGAGGAAACTAGATTTTTTAATAGTTCACCTGTTCCAGCAATAAACAGCAGCTTTTGGGCTCAACTCTAAGCTTCTGGCACCTAAAGCCCTTTGCCTTTTAGACAAGTTTCCTCTTTTGCCCCTCTCATTTTCTTCGAGATACACAAGAAATTCCTCCCAGAAATAAGTTGTCTTGCTATAGTTGTTATTCCTTGGAATATGAGGGACCAACCATAATCTTTGGAGCAGGCAAACAGAAAATTATTATAAAACTTTTCTGCTTAAAGATAATCATACTTGGGGCTGGCATCGTGGCCGAGTGGTTAAGTTCACGCAGTCTGCCTTTGGCGGTCCAGGGTTTCGCTGGTTCGGATCCTGAGCGTGGACATGGCACTGCTCATTGGGCCATATTGAGGCGGCGTCCCATGTGCCACAACTAGAAGGACCTACAACTAAAAATACACAACTATGTGCCAGGGGGATTTGGGGAGAAAAAAAGCAGAAAAAAAAGAAAAGAAAAGAAAAGAAGATTGGCAACAGTTGTTAGCTCAAGTGCCAATCTTTAAAAAAAAAAAAAAAGAGAATCATACTTTCAGAAAATCCCTGAGGTCTCTTCAAGTACATGTACAAAGCATATTAACAAATATGAAAGAGAATAATAATTCAGTAATAAAAAATCTTCAACATAAATAAAAATAAGATTACAAATACTTTTTTTTAATGGCATTGGGAATAAAATACACTCAATAGTGGTGATCTTGAAGTGAAATAGGCAATCTTGTTTTGGGCTGATGGCACTATGAATCAGTTCAAATGTATTGAGGGAAAACCTTGGCGACCCGTATTAAAAGCTTTAAAATGTTACACCTTTTGTCAGAATAAGTCTAATTGTTGGAGTCTATGCTAAAGAAATGCTATGCTGGGGCCAGCCCCATGGCCTAGTGGCTAAGTTTGGTGTGCTCTGCTTCAGTGGCCCAGGTTTGCAGGTTCAGTTCCTGGGTGTGGACCTACACCACTTGTCAGCCATGCTGGCAGGGACCCACACTTAAAATAGATGAAGACTGGCACAGATATTAGCTCAGGGACAATCTTCCTCAACC